GCCAGCATCATTCAAACCAATGCCACTGAGCCCAGGTTGTTCTGGAGCCACCCCCAGCCTGTCACTGGATAGTGAAAGGTGAAGCAGCACAGTGGTGAGCGCGACACGGTCTTTATTCTCTTATCAGCACATAAATGGATTGGCTGCTTGTGTTTTTTTTTCTTTTCTTGTTCCAAACCTGCTGTACAGGGACTGCAGGAGGCTGATGCCAGGTCATATATGGTACTTTAACTGCTTGCATGTAAAAAATAAATTTAATGATGTATCAACCACTTGTCCTCCAGAGGATTTACTCCCTTCCTGACCAGGCCATTTTTGTGATACAGCACTACATTATTTGACAATTGCGAGGTCATGCACAGGGGCGGACTGACAACTCATGGGGCCCCCGGGCAATAAGGGATCATGGGGCCCCTGTGTCCTTTCCCACACTCAAAGCACACCCAAAAAAGCCTATTAAAAAGGTACCAGGGGCATTTCATGGGGCCCGTGTCCTTGCCCATGCTCAAAGCACACCCAAAAAAGCCTATAAAAAAGGTACCAGGGGCATTTCATGGGGCCCCCTACTGACCCTGGGCCCTCGGGCAGTGCCCGAGTGCTCAAATAGTCAGTCCGCCCCTGGTCATGCAATGCTGTACATAAATAAAATGTGTGTCCTTTTTTTCCCCCACAAATAGAGCTTTCTTTCGGTGGTATTTGATCACCTGTGCAATTTTTATTTTTTTGTGCTATAAACAAAAAAAAAAATATTTTGAAAAAAAAAAAACAATATGTTTGACTTTGCTATTAAACATGTCCAGTAAAATAATTTCTAAAAAAAATCTAATTTCTTCATAAATTTAGGCCAAAGTATATTTTCCTACATGTCTTTGCTGAAAAAATCCCAATACATGTAAAGTAATTGGTTTATGTTAAAGTTATAGCGTCTACAAATGATGGTATAGATCAGGGGTCCTCAAACTATGGGCCCGCCGAGGCCATTTATCCGGCCCGCCGGCAGGGGCGTATTTTCCGCGAGGAAGGGACACTAAGTACAGGGGTGGGCAGGGGGCTGCTGTACCTTACCTGGCTCCAGTCCCAGTCCCACGACGCTCCAGTCCAGGAAGCGCTGCTCCTTCATTCACTCCGGCCACTCCCGCCGCTCGGCTCCGCCTCCTCACCGGTGACTGGGCTCCAGAACTGTAGCTCAGGAAAGGCACACAGGCGGCCAATCACCTGCGAGGAAGCGGACATAGAGTGAGGGAGAGGCCAGAGTGAAGGAGGACAGCTGACAGGTAAGTGTGCCGTGCTGATGGTACTGCTGCAACCAGGTATGCTGGCTGCAGCAGCACCATGCTGGAACAGGGGTCAGCAGGTTAAGTGTCATTGGTGTCAGTGGGAGGAAGAGTGCCCCATCATTGGTGTCACCGATACTAATGATGGGGCATTATTCCTCTCAATGACACCAATAATGGGGCACTATTCCTCTCCCCACTGACACCAATGATGGGGCACTATTCCTCCCCCCCACTGACACCAACGATGGGGCACTATTCCTTCCCCCCCACTGACACAAACGATGGGGCACTATTCCTCCCCCCCCACTGACACCAAACGATGGGGTACTATTCCTCCCCCCCCTCTGACACCAATGTTGGGACACTATTCCCCCCTCACGGACACCAATGACGGGGCACTATTCCCCCCCCACTGACACCAATGATGGGGCACTATTCCCCCCCACTGACACCAATGAGGTACTATTCCCCCACTGACACCAAGATGGGGCACTATTCCTCCCACTGACACCAATGATGGGGCACTATTCCTCCCACTGACACCAATGTTGGGACACTATCCCCTTCCCCAACTGATACCAATGATAGGGCACTATTTCCCCCCCCCCCACTGACACTAATGATGGGGCACTATTCCTCCCACTGACACCAATGATGGGGCACTATTTCTCCCACTGACACCAATGATGGGGCATGATTCTTCCCACTGAGACCAATGATGGGGCACTATTTCTCCTACTGACACCAATGATGGGGCACGTTTCTTCCCCGTTTCATCCCACTGACACCAATGATTGGGCACTATTCCCCCCCCCCCCCACACTGACACCAACGATGGGGCACTTTCCTCCCCCCACTGACACTAATGATGGGGCACTATTCCTCCCACTGACACCAATGATGGGGCACTATTCCTTCCACTGATACCAATGATGGGGCACTATTCCTCCCACTGACACCAATGATGGGACACTATTCCTCCCACTGACACCAATGATGGGACACTATCCCCCCTCACTGACACCAATGACGGGGCACTATCCCCCTCCACTGACACCAATAACGGGGCACTATCCCCCCCCACTGACACCAATGATGGGGCACTATTCCCCCCAACTGACACCAATGAGGTACTATTCCTCCCACTGACATCAAAGATGGGGCTATCCTTCCCACTATCCTTCCCACTGACACCAATGATGGGACACTATTCCTCCCACTGACACCAATGATGGGACACTATTCCTCCCACTGACACCAATGTTGGGACACTATACCCTTCCCCAACTGACACCAATGATAGGGCACTATCCCCCCCCCCCCACTGACACCAATGATGGGGCACTATTCCTCACACTGACACCAATGATGGGGCACTATTCCTTCCACCGATACCAATGATGGGGCACAATTCTTCCCACTGACACCAATGATGGGGCACTATTCCTCCCACTGACACCAATGATGGGGCACAATTCTTCCCACTGACACCAATGATGGGGCACTATTCCCCCCACTGACACCAATGATGGGGCACTATTTCGCTCCATAAGACAAACTTGGGGGAAATGTCTGTGTGCCTTATGGAGCAGCCGGCCCAGTATTCCCGCCACCGTTGTATGTCCGCAGTCTCTGGTCATGTCCTGTACTGTGTCTGCATTTGTTCATAGTTTTTTTTTTTTTTTTTAAACTATAGTCTGGCCCTCCAACGGTCTGAGGGACAGTGAACTGGCCCCCTGTTTAAAAAGTTTGAGGACCCTTGGTATAGATACTGGATTTTTTTTTTTTTTATATTAGTAATGGTGGCGATCAGCGACTTACAGCAGGACTGCGGCAAGCATTCTGACACTGGGGGGGGGAACTGCCACAGACATCCCAATGACACTAATACAGTTATCAGTGCTAATACAAAAGCTCTGACACTGTGCTAATGACACTGGGCAGGAAGTGGTTAACATCTGGGGCAGGGGTGGACTGACCATTTGGAAATTTAGGCACTGCCAGAGGGCCCGGGGTCAGTAGGGGGCCCCATCAGATGCCCCTGGTACCTTTTTTGCATAGGCTTTTTTGAGTTTGGGTAAGGACACAGGGGCCCCATGATCCCCTATTGCCCGGATGCCCCATGAGTTGTCAGTCCACCCCTGATCTGGGGTGATCAAAGGGTTAACTGTGTGCTCTGTGTTACTAGGGAAACATACTGCTGGCAGGAGATAGACCTGTGTTGTTTACACACAGGTCTCTCCTCTGTCAGTGATACTCCATGATCGCCGGGTGCCACCAGGGAATCTCTGGCCCGGGAAAAAAAGAAAAAACTGATCACCCGCCCAGGTCTATAACTGGCTTTTTAATCTCTGGCCGGGACCCGGCGATCAACATCTGTAGCCGCCAATGGTGGTGCAGGTAGAACGGCATGCGCCCCCTACCCAGAAATGGAAAATCACGTATATATACACACACATGTGAATTTGCACAGCCCTGCTGCCCTGTAGCAGCAGTTCTGCTATAGGGCGGTCGGGAAGTAGTTAATGATTACAGAGCTGCATTAAAGCAGAGTTCCAGCTGAAAAAAACTGTACAAAAACTGTAGCTGCTGACTTTTAAAGTACAGCCATTCACCTGTCCCTCGGTCCAGCAGTGTCCTCACCACCACTGGTTTTCGTCTCTCTCCCTGGTGCCGGCATCTTTAGTGTGGGCACCCAGCTATGACAGCTTGCAGCTTCACAGTCGGGTGCCCACTGCACATGCATGAAAAGGGCTGCGCTTTGTGAATGGCCCCGTAGTCTTCTGGGACCTATCATGTGTCCCAGAAGAGTACGGGGAGGGAGGGACAACTTCCACTTCCGATCGCATAGGTGATCTCAGCAAAAGTGGGAGCGGGTACCTGTCAAATTCGGGTACCTGTTCCAACCTGTTTCCCAAAAGGTATCAATCCTTAATGGGGAGCAGGGGACAAAGCTTCCCCTTTTTGGTGGAGCTCCGCTTTAATTTCTGTCTAATATCTGCCTGGGATTCAGTTTTAACGGCGAACATTGCTGCAACTCACTAAAAATACACACTTACTAAATATATATTGTTCTTTCTATTTAAAAGTGCACCTGTGCCCAGACTAAATAAAATATTTAAAACATACTTAAAGACAGTAAAGGAACTTTAAAACAAGCAGTTCCTGGCCTCTCTAGCTGCTTGTACAGTGAAGTAATGTATCTTTAAAGATCACAAGAAAGACTCTAGGCTGGAAGAAATCAACTTTAAAACACACCAGCTGTGCATTTACATCAGAGGCTGGACATATTATGGTGCAATATAAAGTAATAAGAAAAAAAAATAAGATTTCAATGCCTGGGCTGTGAATTTTGAAGAGGAATTTCTCCACAATGCCTATACCTACAGAGATAAAGGAGGACTTGTTTAAAAGTGTTTTCACCGAAAGTGCAGGATATGTAAATACTTTGGTATACATAGGGTGGCCCCCGGTTTATTTTAAATACAGATCTGCCGCTAGTTCACAACCCTCACTTGGTGGCATCATTCACACCTCAGCACTGTGATAAGATGCATGCAGTAGGTTTGTATCCTGCAGAACTTGAAGCACATTGAGAAGAGGCAAAGAAAAGCATCCTCATGTTGATACTTTTCTACTTCAGTGCTGAAAACGTTTACAGTGATCCTTGTTTTTCAGACTTATATTGTGAACCAAAGCAATTTCCTGTGTTTCTATTGGCAGGTCTTCCAGCTTCTCTAAACGAGCTCCACCTGGACCACAACAAGATTCAGGCTGTTGAAATGGGAGATCTTAGTTCATTACCTAATTTATACAGGTAAGAACACAAACAGGGTGAGAAGTTTAGAATAAGAGGAAGGATGGAAGCTTGACTACTTCTAGAAAATCATAACTGTGTACATAATGCAATATTATTTCTCCAGAAAAGGTAAAATTACTTCTAGGAAAATACAATTTTCACATGACAGGTCTGGAAATCCTCCATGCCTCATAAGGCCTATTGTGATTCAGAGAACGTATCATCAGATAGCATTATTTCACTCTAAATGAAATTGTGCAATGATTTCAATCCAATCCAACACACAGTGGGACAGATTGAGTCAAGTCTTATGACTAGTGCTTTCACTGTAATGGTTCCAACCCCACACGTTCATCTCCATTTCTTTGGTTTGTACAAGTCAGGGCTGGCTTTAGAGGAGATAACTACTCTGATGTTGTGTATTAGATATCCCACTGTGCTCAGGGAATCCTTTGCCATGAAGTAAATGTTTAACAGAACCTAAACTGTGAACCTGTGGTTTGCGCGCAGTTGAGCGTTTCCCTATTATATGACTTATGCTTGCTCTGCACTGTGTAACAGTGTCAAAGCAGCCATCTTGGTACAGGAGCTTCATTTTTGTGTTGCCCTTCTGATGTCTGGTGGGGTAATGGTCCATGAGGAATACAAAATTGTGGAAGTAGCACATATCCACGAAATTAAAGCATAAGCAGGGAGATGTTTGCACTGTGGATTCTCAGGTGCAGCTTCCTCTCCAGCAAGGAGAACAGTAGTGACATCACCAATTGCCACTACAAATCTGTTAAGACCAGTCATCAGATGCAGCCTTACATGTTCTCATAATGCAAATACGCAGCTATGAGGCTGTAGGCAAGGGTAGCCACCTGGCAAGTAATAATGGGAGTTGTTACCAATGTTATTAATAAAAAATAAGGATTGTAAGGCCAGATTTTTTTTTTTTCCAGAACAGTAGTCAAACCTAGTATGGGAACATACGTGTCCAGGCAAAGAAAGTTCTGCTTAGGCACACTTACCATCTCTAGATGTTGCTTCTTCACTTGTGAATTTATATTACGGAGGTCAGTAGCGCAAGCTCCAATTTAGGCCTCATGCACACAGAATGTTAAGAAAAAAACTCTTCTAGAAGCCATCCCCCTGGCAGCTGCGTTTTTGCAGAAAAAAAACGCCTGACGCTTGTAAAAATATTTTACAAGCGTTTAAGCACGTTTACAAGCGTCAAGTGCTTGGGCATTAATTAATTTAACTGGCCAGAATGATAAATTATTCTGGCCATTGAAATGAACTAATGCTCAAGCACTAAATGCGCCTAGCATTTAGACTGGTCAAGCGTTTTTCAGACAAAATGCTGCTGTTCCTGGATGCAGTGGCCCTGGGTTTTTTTTTTCTGCTGGTAAATGCTACTGCTACTAAAAGCTTTTGAAAGCCTATGTGTGCATGGACACATAGGATAACAGAGGGTAGTTTGGAAGCAGTAAAAAAAAAAAAAAAAAAAAAAAAAAAAAAAAGCCTGACGCCCCTAAAATATGGCTGCAAAAATAACCTGTGTGTCACCAACAATGAATCGCATCATAGTATGTAGAAAAGATAACAGAGCAAGTGCTAAATGCAGTATAGGATATTAAAATTATGTACCAGTATATTCAAATTAATTAAAAGCAGCTAGCACTCGGGGTATAGGTAACAGTCCCAGAATCACAATTTCTAAAATATTAGTGCAGTGCTAAAAAATGCATATCATAAATTTCATAAACGCATGTGACAAACGCATATGTGAGTAAAGTGCTGAAAGTGCAATATTAATATAACTAGTTCAAGATGACATAAAATGCAAGTAGTTCATCAGAGCATTCGTGAATTTAAAACCTCTCTTGTGCAAAGATATCAGCTGAAGACATTTTATTGCATTTTATGTCATCTTGAACTAGTCATATTAATATTGCTCTTTCAGCACTTTACTCACATATGCATTTAAGTCGCATGCGTTTATGGAATTTATGACATGCATTTTTTAGCACTGCACTAATATTTTAGAAAAAATGAATCGCATCATGGCTGCTCCCCCTCATTCCCCTACAGGTTTTAATCAGAGACAAAAAGTGCCACAAAAAAAACAACTTGTATTGGGATTTTTTTTAAAAACCATAGTGCTCTGGGAATCCTATGTCAAGGCTGAACCCTATAGTGAATGTTTATTTCTGAGACAAAAATTGTATAATGTATGTGTGTGCTTGTTTGGTAACACCACGAGTAAACACATAGCACAGTCAAAAAAAAAAAAAAAATGTAACCTATTATAGTTTCGCTTTAACACAACTACTTTGTAGGAGACGTTTACTTTCTGCTCTCATACAATGAGTACAATTCTGAGAAATTGCTCTTGGGAAAATATTGGCTATGTCCACCTTCAGATCAACAAACAAAGGTCATGAATGAATTATTTTTACCTCTTCTTTTGGCCAAAAAATGCAAATTTTTACATTAAATGAGTCCAGATTGCCTTAAACAGGAAAATAATTCATCTTGAAGTACAGAGTGTTGGATAAATTACTCCTAAAGCAATATACAAATGAGCAATAAGCAAATAATCACATCCTTGTTTTCTTCCCACAGTCTCTGTTCTCAATTAATGACTGTGCTACAAGTATGAATTTAATTTTTGGACCACAGTGCAGTCTCCTATGATATCTCCAAATCCAGATATCATAGCTCCCCCTCTAGCTAACTCTCCATCTCTGATGTTTGTTTAAATAATTAAATCCAAGAAAAAACATATTGTAGCTAGAGCATTAGATGCGGTTGCTGCATTAGTTTTCTCTTTTACAGGTTAATATTCGATCAGCAAGTACAGAAAATACCTGTTGATCTCACTCATGGCATAACTAACTTTGGGTATGTGCTCTGTGTAATTTACAAACAAGGCATGGTTTTTGTTTGTGATTTACCCCCTGGAAAAAAATTCTCTTGCTCTGCATAGAGTAGGGATTTTTCTCAGACTTTTTGCTAGTGAGGCACTTCTGCACATTACTTACTCCTGACCCCTGTACTCTGTGCATTGCATACTCCTCACCCCTGCAATCTGTATGGTACTTAGTCCTGTCCCTGCACTCTTTATGCTATGAACTCCTCACCCCTGCAATCTGCATGATACTTACTACTGTCCCTTGCATTCTGCGAGTTACTTACTCGTGGCCCCTTTAAAATGGTCAGGAGTAAGTACCATACAGAATAAAGGGGCCAAGAGTAAGTAACTTGCAGAATGTAAGGGACAGTAGTAAGTATCATGCAGATTGCAGGGGTGAGGAGTACAAAGCATAGAATGCAGGGACAGGACTAAGTACCATACAGATTGCAGGGGTGAAGAGTATGCAATGCACAGAGTACAGGGGTCAGGAGTAAGTAACATACAGAATTAACTGTGCCTTACTTACTCTGGCCCCCTGGACTCTGTATGGTACTTACTCCTGCCCCCTGGACTCTTTATGGTACTTACTCCGGCCCCCTGGTCTCTGTATGGTACTTACTCCGGCCCCCTGGACTCTGTATGGTACTTACTCCGGCCCCCTGGACTCTGTATGGTACTTACTCCGGCCCCTACACTCTGTATGGTACTTACTCCGGCCCCCTGCACTCTGTATGGTACTTACTCCGGCCCCCTGGACTCTGTATGGTACTTACTCCGGCCCCCTGACTCTGTATGGTACTTACTCCGGCCCCCTGCACTCTGTATGGTACTTACTCCGGCCCCCTGCACTCTGTATGGTACTTACTCCGGCCCCCTGGACTCTGTATGGTACTTACTCCGGCCCCTGCACTCTGTATGGTACTTACTCCGGCCCCTGCACTCTGTATGGTACTTACTCCGGCCCCTGCACTCTGTATGGTACTTACTCCGGTCCCTGCACTCTGTATGGTACTTACTCCTGCCCCCTGCACTCTGTATGGTACTTACTACTAAAACCATGACTCAACTGCAGGGTTTTACCACCACCCAACTTTACATGTGAACAAGCCCTAGGAGTGTCACTGCCAGATGCAACTAAGGGCTCATTCACAAGTGCAGCAGACACTGCTGCTCCTCTGCAAACCGATCCAAGTGTGTTTGACAGGTGGTGAAGAGGCGATTTATTGCCTCCTCATCACCTGATTTAAACCCATGGTTGCCGTGCAATGCGCACGACTGTAACACAGTAGCAATTAGAGGTTAAAATAAGGTGTGAGGAGGTAACACTGTGCCCACAGATCTTTGCCTTCTCCCATGTTGTTCAGGTAGATCTCCACCTCTTTAAGGTTGCCTACCCCTGTTCTATGCCCTCCTGACCCCTGCACTCTAAGTAAATAACCTTCAACATATTGTTGCCCATGATGGGTGGCCAATCGTGGCACAGCATCAATCTAAAGAAAAAATTGCCAGCACTCTTTAAACACTAGGTATTACATATCTGCAGTTGAGCCTGGGGGCAATTATGGATCCCTCCAAAGATAAAGTACAGGAAGGAATGTAGCCACCCAGGGACAGAAAACACACTAAAAAAAATAAATGCAGCCACCACATTTAAGAATTAGTAAGCTGCACTATATTACATTTTTTGTGTTTGGGGTTAGAAGTGCTTTACAGGCACTTTCTCCACATAAAAATCCATATTAAAGGAGACCAGTTCGAAGGCCACTGTTGATGGCATCCTTCGGAAAGGTCCCGCTGATCCTTTATCTCCAATACCATCTAAACCACTGAACTGGAACAGTTAGGGAAGAAGTTGGGATAAAGACACTAGTTTGCAGTTACTAAAACAAACAAAAAAAAACCAATTCAGTTTTGTGAGTACCTCAGCAACTGTCCTTTAATGCCCAACACTGGGGCGAGCCATGTCCAAGCTGTAATTTAAATTGATCTCTTGACCAAATTTTTGGAAGAAATCCATACATTCAAATAACTTTTTGCTTAATGTATGAAAAGGCACATAGAAAGTAAATATTTTAAGACAAACTAAGTCTCTGTGATGAAATTCAGTTGTGAGAATCTACATGGTGCTTCTATAAGTGCTGGACTGGTTCCCTATTCTTTCTGAGATGATCACAGTACAGCCAATACCTAGGGGAGTTTAAACATTGACATCAGTTCTAGTCAGGAACAAGTTGTGGCCTAGTGGAGGAGGGTCTGCTTGCTTGGCGGTGGTAGGGTCTGTTCTCCCTAGGTGGAGAGTGTGATGTCTATCTATTCGATAGTTTGTTTTTGCTCACTGGGGATCCAACAGTCTCCTCAGATTGGAGACATTTGATTATTTCTGACAGCAGGTCTGCTAACAGTTACTGCTACTTTTCTGTGGATGCTGTTACCTTCGCCTAGAGTTGACCAGAGTGATTATATTGCTGCTTATGCCAATGCGATTTCGTGTTTTCTTTTTGCTCAAACTCAATATAAATGTCATATTGATTTACACTAACTTGTGTGAGAGTCCATTTCACAGTGGTGACTTATTCGGGTCACAAGAGTGCGGTGGTGTCAGCAGAAGTTGGGCTTTCAGAAAGAAGTCCAGATTGATGGGGAACCCAAAAATTACTAAGCAACCCTTAACCGCTTTCCCGCCGCCCTATAGCAGATATACTGCTACAGGGCGACAGGGGCACGCAAAATAACATATATATACGTGATTTCGCATTTCAGGGTAGGGGGTGCGTGTGCCGCCCTACCCGCACCACCATTGGCGGCTTCCACTGTCGATCACTGGGTCCTGGCCGGTGATTCCTCGCCGGCACCTGGTGATCGCCGAGAATCACTGACTGGGGAGAGGTCTGTATATAAACAATACAGATCTCTCCCCTGTCAGCTCCTGCACACTGCTTTGTATGGCTCTACATAGTGTGCGCCCTATCCGCGCCACCATTCTTGGCTGTCAATCACCGGGTCCCTCTGATGGGGAAGAGGACTGTTTTGTTTACTAACAGCAGTGTGATTACAGTGAAGCACACAGACACTGCCCCCCATAGTAAAACACTCCCTGCACACAGTTAACCCTTTGATCGCCCCTCATGTTAACACCTTCCTGCCCAGTGCCATTAGTACAGTGTCAGGGCTTTTTTTTTAGCACTAATAACTGTATTGGTGTCACTGGGGATGTCAGTGACACAAAGTCAGTTCCCCCCAGTGTCAGAATGTCCGCCACAGTCCCGCTATAAGTCGCTGATCCCGCCATTACTAGTAGAAAAAAAAAATTACAGGTATTGGGATTTTTTTTAGCAAAGACATGTAGCAGAATACATTTTGGCCTAAATTAATGATGAATTCTGATTTTTTTAAAAAATTTTTACTGGACATGTTTAATAGCTAAAAGTCAAAAATAAAGTTTTTTTTCAAAATTGTTGTTTTTTTTTTTGTTTAGCGCAAATCAGGCGATCAAATACCACTGAAAGAAAGCTCAATTAATGGGAAAAAAGACGTAAATTTAATTTGGGTGCAGCATTGCATGACCACACAATCGTCAGTTAAAGTAATCGCGCCATAACGCAAAAAATGGCATAGTCTGGACAGGGGGGGGGGGGGTGAGAAACCCTCTGGAGGGCAAGTGGTTAAGGGGGTAGCATACACTATGTCAAACTTTACCATGCCTGGAATTCTTTTTTAGATTTACCTGGGATAACAATAGGGTGTTGACTGTGTAAGTAACAGTTTTGTTTTTTTTTTTTTTTTTTCTAGGTTAGGACTGGGATACAATACCATCAGACAGGTAGAAAATGGAAGTTTGTCCTCTCTGCCCATTCTAAGGGAACTTCACCTCGACAATAACAAGCTCGCCAAAGTGCCTCCAGGACTGCCAGACCTGAAGTTCCTACAGGTGAGAATGAGTCCAATACATTAAATATCTACCCGATTGAAAATAAAGAGTCATTATAAACCCTATGCAGCATTATTCATCCCCTTTGAAGCCAACAGATCTACCATAAATTTAAGCCCAAGTCTGGCTTAGGACAAAAAAAAATAAAATCTCAATCCCCAGCATCCCCCAAAAAGGAGCTCTGGCTGCAATACCAATCTCCTCATTGGTGGTGCCCCATGCAGACTCAATATACAATGGTGGCCCTTTTCTATCTTGAATGACATTCATTCAGGCCACTTTCGTTGAGCCCAGAGCATCATCGACCTATCCTTTCAGGGAATGTCATTAGGTTACCCTGGACTTACAGGAGAAGGCTGCAAAGAGCATTACCATGTCATGTAGCTCCACTCTTGGCAGCATTAAGAACCCATCCAATGCAAATAGACAGAAGCAGTTGAATAGGATCCAAGTACAACACTGAAAAAGTATGTACACCAAAAAAAATAAGTGAGAGGATCCTCTATTGAGGAAAGATGGTTTTGGAGGTGGTGTAGGCATCACCAAGCCCAGAGCTGGACCTTAAAACATCCAAGTACAGTGTCTACTGTCTAGATCAGCTGCCACCTGAGGTGAGCCATTTTCCCCCCTCTTTACCCTAGTGTGACCCCCATGCCACCACATTTTTGCCACCCAATCCCCTGGCACAACAACCAATGATGCGGTGTTCCAGCCAGTGTCCTAGGATGCTGTGTGCCATAATAAATAGTGCATGTGTGCGGGTTTCAGCGCTTGCTGCTGTGATGGTGCAGGTGAGCAGTGTCTTTGCAGCATCCTAGCAACAAGGCAGAAATGGGGGGATGTCACCCCTGTGAAATGTTCAGCCAGGCTACAGGAAATAGGTAGGTTGTCTACACCTAAAGCAAGGGCATTATTAAACCTTATTCAAAGCTGCACAATTTGCTCTTATCTACAGGTGCCTCTTACCTGCATAGGCAGTTTTTTTTTTGGTTAAGGTAAACAAACCCTTTAAATCTTACAGACATGGAGCAGCACGAAAAAAGGGGGACAAAACACTCAACCATAATCACGTTACCAGGGGCGGACTGACAACTCATGGGGCCCCCGGGCAATAGGGGATCATGGGGCCCCTGTGTCCTTGCCCAAACTCAAAAAAGCCTATGAAAAAGGTACCAGGGGCATCTCATGGGGTCCCCTACTGACCCCGGGCCCTCGGGCAGCGCCCGATTTTCCAAATGGTCAGTCCACCCCTGCACATTACCCACTATTCCTAATGGACTATGAGACTGTGAATTTGGGGTGTGCCATTGTTCATCAAAAAAAAAGTCACCTCCAGTGCCATTCATAGAATCCCTTATATTTTGTTTTCCAATGAATACAAGGTATTTTCTGACTGGACAAGATGGAGAGGCCAACGGTGGTGTCACAAAATCCATCTTGTCCAATCAGCAAATGCCTTGTTAGAAATAAATAGATTTTTATGAATGATGGCAGTGCAGAGCAGGTAGCCACCTGTAATTAGTGTGTGTGGGTAAGCCATTTGGCACAGGACCCAGAAGATCATGGCCATTCCAGTAGTGCCAACTACTGCAGTGATTTTCAGCTTCTCCAGTGGTCCATCAGTTATGAGTATGTAATGAGTAAATGTGCCAAGCTGGACCAATGTCCAGCTCAGCTTTAAGCCGATGACACAATTCTTGTATGGCTCTACCATAAATTTAAGCCCAAGTCTGGCTTAGGACAAAAAATAAATAAAATCTCAGTCCCCGGGATCCCCCAAAAAGGAACTCTGGCTGCAATACCGATCTCCTCATTGGTGGTGCCCCATGCAGACTCAATACACAATGGTGGCCCTTTTCTATCTTGAATGACATTCATTCAGGCCACTTTCGTTGAGCTCAGAGCATCATTGACCCATCCTTTCAGGGAATGTCATTAGGTTACCCTGGACTTACAGGAGAAGGCTGCAAAGAGCATTACCATGTCATGTAGCTCCACTCTTGGCAGCATTAAGGACCCATCCAATGCAAAGAGACAGAAGCAGTTGAAGAGGATCCAACTACAACACTGAAAAAGTATGTACACCAAAAAAAAATATGTTTTATGAATATGAGTTATGAGTATGTAATGAGTAAATGTGCCAAGCTGGACCAATGTCCAGCTCAGCTTTAAGCCGATGACACAATTCTTGTATGGCTCTACATGCATGTTAATAAGGCCAATTCTGATTTTGAGTTGAGCCTTAATTTTTACGCAGTTGACACCAAAGCATCTTTCCTAAAAATTGTCTAATGTTTTTGAAATCCTCCAAGTAAAAGTTTTTTTTAAATCTCTCTTTGCTAGGTTGTATACCTCCACTCCAACAACATCACCCAGGTGAGCGTCAATGACTTTTGCCCAACAGGATTCGGGGTGAAACGCGCTTACTACAACGGAATCAGTCTCTTCAATAACCCAGTGCCCTACTGGGAGGTGCAACCTGCCACTTTCCGCTGTGTCACCGACCGCTTGGCCATCCAGTTTGGCAATTACAGAAAGTAGAACTGTGTGGAGACAACAAATGTAACCAAAGACAGAACATAAAGAGAATGAAATGAAGAGAACTGTTCAAATCAGACTAAAACACGTAAAAAAAAAATAATATTAATAAAATTAGTCCAATGATGCTCTGTGAGAGGGTGTGTAAAACAGTCACTAAACTCAATGCTTTAGGTATTTTTCCTGTTCTGCCTATCCTGTGGCACAGATGTCTAACGAGCCAGGAAGGGATGCAGGTAGTCAGTAGCTGCACTAAACTTGTATAGTCACAGTTCTATATCCCAGTTATCGATAAGCTTATTAGCCAATATGTACAGTAGGTCTCCAGCTGTTGATGAAGCAGACCTCCCACAGCAAGCTTGATGACTGGCTGAGCCAGAATGGGGCTGGAAGGAGGTGTTATCCCCTAGTAACCAGTAACCTTCCAGCTTTCATTTTTAGGCAATTTGGGTTATGAAAGCTGAAGCTTTTTTATTGGTTGTTTTGGGACACCCGTACTTTTTTTTCCCCCTCTCTAACCTTGTCCACCCAGCACCCTCACACTCCCAGTGAATCCATCATTGTCTTGCTGTGATCCACCAACACGGCTGCATGCCAGATCCTGTGCCTTCATCTTTCTTTATGACACCATCGGGAGCTGGCTGTCTCTTTTTGGCAAAGACAACCAGCCACCTGATGACATGCACCTGGTTCGTTGTCCCCCGGACACAGTGTTGAAATGGATGCTCACTGGGATAAGGGGTTGCATATCCCAGTGGGCTTCAGGAGCAGAAGAGATGTCATTTTTGGCCATATTCATTGGGAGCTGGCCGTCTCTTTCTGGTTCAGGCAGCCAGCTCCCTGATGATGTCCGCCAGGCCTGTCCTCCTCCGACCACTGTGTTGAAGCTGATGCTTCTTCGTATCTGTGGTGTTTATATCTCAGAAGGCCTCAGAAGCAGAGGAGACTTCATTCTCATCTGTGTTCATCAGGAGCTAGCTTTCTTTTCTTGGTTCAGGTAGCAGCTTCTTAATGATCTGCCACTAGGACTCTCCTTCTATGGCCACTGTGTTGAAGCTGATGCCCCCTGGGATATGTGGTTTATATATCTCAGGAGGCTTCAGAAGAAGAGGATACTTCACTTTCACTTGTGTTCATAAGGAGCTGGCTGTCACCTTCTGGTTCAGGCAGTCAGCCCCCTGATGACACTTTCCAGGTCCACCCTCCTCTGCTTGGTGTGTTGAAGTTCATACCATTATGGTGTGCATATCCCAGAGAGCTTCAGGAGTAGAGGAGACTTCATTCTCGCCTGTGTTCATTAGGAGCTGGCTGTATTTTCCTGGTTCAGACAACCAGTCCCCTGATGACGTGCCACCAGGTCCATCCTCTTCCAGCCACTGTGCTGAAGCTGAAGTCCCCAGGACATGTGGCATGCATATCTCAGGAGGCTTCAGGAACACATGAGATATCATTTTTGCCTGGGTTCCTTGGGAACAAGCTTTGGCAGCTGGTCCCCTGATGATGCCTGCCAGGTTTGCCCTCCTCTGGCCGCTGTGTTGGAGCAAATGCCCTTTGAGATGTAATGTGCAGATGGGAGTAGAGTGCTTGGCAGAGGGTGGGAGGCTTGTAGGGTTTAAAAGTACTGAGAGTGAGTTCTGGTTTTAATACATATCAAAACACCAAGCAAGACATATGCTTACCCAAAAAACAAATTTACAACCTTTGATGGTCAGCACTCAGCAAACACAAAAAAAGACCTGGATGTCACCAGCCTTGGGAGCTCTCAAAGCCTAACACAGTAATACAGCCAGTCGATGTCAGCACAGGTTAGCAGCTGCACATGCTCAGTGGTCACCGAGTAGTCAGTAGGTTTTTCCTCATTAGCTAAAATCAACAGCCTGAGAAATACCCAAATTCGCACAGTGGCCATTCACTGATGCATGACCAAACCCAAACTAAATTCGGCAACCTTAAAAACAAGCTTCCTTTAAATCTTTTAGTAAATTTTATCAGATATAACTTGTAAGTTCCCCAAGCCTTTCGATCTCAAAGCCTTTTTTGTTCCCAAAGCCTTGTATACAACAAAGCAGCCAAAAAGTGATACAACACAGCTTAGCAGCTGCACAGTTTCTGTAGTCACTGAGCATCCTGGACCTCTTTTATTGAATAGCACAAGAATAATTCTGTAATCAGCACACACATTTCCTTTGTAACAAATGGGACCAGTGTGGGTGTGGGTAAACTACTTGACACTTAGGAGTGTATTTATACAAAAATGTGCATAGCTGCTTTTGGCAAAACCGCATGCAAAATTGTTCTGTGCAAATGTTCTAAAACTATATTCTCTGCAGACTGAATTTTTTTTGATGAATAACAAAAGGATGAATATGGAAAATACTGCATTATGGCCACTATATGGTGCAGAGTATCATATGAACTAAGTATGCTTCTCATCTTCATCTAGTGGCCATAATATACTTTCACCATTTACACTTTTTTTTTTTTTTTTTTTTTTTTTTTTTTTTTTTTTCAATGTATAACATTCGATCTGTAGAGAATAGCCTGAGAACATTATATTTCACCCCTTTTGGAATTAATTTAAATGCAGTTTTGATGAGTAAACAGCTATTCGTTTTTTTAAAATATAAATACAGCTCTTTTACAGTTTGCCAACCCACAGACACCTCTTGCTTCTCTAAGCATTTTTCAAAAAAATATAATTATTCTATTTTTCGTCAACGTCAAGAACACTCCATATTGCTTTGCAGTGCAAGGCACTGCAGACCCTCTTGCCTGTGAAAGGGTTAACAAAAAAGCCCATTTCATGGTATATTTGCTCATAAGTTCACCCCTGAATAGCCAGTCTTTCAGTTGGGGGCCATAAAAGGGATAAAGAGGGCTGCAAACGTAGGCACAGCACTTTACCTATCATGCAGGACCATGCATATGTTTTTATCTCCAGCTTGCAAAAAACCCCCCCCCCAAAAAAAAACAAAATTAGTGAGCATTTTTTTTAGTGTGCCTACATTATTTCCATGATGAATCGTTGGGATAACACTGCCACCTAGTAGACAAATGATGGCATTGCTCTGAAGCAGGGTTCTTGCAAATCAGGATCAAGGGAATAAATGTAAACCGCTTTAAAAAACATTATATACCTGTTTTTGTAACCACCAGCTTTCCAAAGTTTGTTTTTGCATAAAATAACACAATGTTGATGCATTAAATAAATGTTTTTTTGTAGATATACCAAAGCAATAAATCAGCGGTGGACATATTTGTACAAAGCTGGAATTTTATTTTAGAGTTTAATCATCTAAAAGAATGCACAGATATCGGTCTCTATCAGAGTTGAAATCTCTAAGGCTAGGTTCACACTTGCAGGCAAAACACACCTAATGGAGTATAATGGCATTCCTACGCATCGGCAAATGTGGTGCATTATCTCATGCGGTTCCACGTGGCTGCATTTTTTAAAAAAGGGTTGGGGACTTTTCCCCCCATGTTTCTTGCAGGTACAGCAGCCTATTCAAATGAATGAGCTGCTGCACCTGTGCAACCGTGCACGCATGTCCCGCACAAGTGTGAAGTTAGCCCAAATCTGAACTCCAGGTGGATATAAAGATACAAATTAATTCAGCTCAGAAATGCATCCTTAAATTTATTTTTAAATGCAAGGAGTGTACACATCTGAGTATCAGCAGCTTGAAATACCTATAAAGAAGGGCTGGAGTGTGAGAGGAAGAAGCAGTACAAGAAGCCAATCAGTTCAGGTGTTGGCAAGAAGCATGATGATAGGAGGTAAAAGAGTGATTTATATGAGCTCATCACTGTGCTGCTTCTCCTTTCACTGTCCAGTCTCAAGTTGGGGGCTGATCCGGGATGACCTCAGCTCAGAAGAATTGGGTTAATGAAGCTGGCCATTAGGACTAAGGACTATTTCTTTTGATCTTCTTTTACTTTGGCAGGAGTTTTTACTTTTAATGTTATCCTTACCTACAATTTGACCATATATGTCATTCTGCTGAAAGCCCTAAATAGAATACAGCAGGACCTGATAATTGTATCCGGCTCCAGCCCTTTCCCTCTCCCACAATAGTAGTTTTTTCCTTATTTTTACTTTGTGAGAAGTACGTTGCGCCTGATTCAAGAGTGCGCAGATGTACGAAAAGGGTTCTGCCTGGCCTTCAGCTCCTAGAAGAAACCTTTGTCACGTCTGTGTGGGTCCACCTGAACGCAAACATGATGTGGTTAGGGATGTACAGGACTTTGTGTGTGATCTGCACATGTGCCGAAGAATCATTGCGTATGCAGACTAAACATGATTTCCCATAACTTCCTAATCGCACCATCTTCATCTTCACAAGGGGCGGCACCAGTAACGGGGGGTTGAGACCAACATTAAGGGGACTGAAGTTTTTCTGACAGCTGTCATAACAGTTAAATGTCTGAACACAAAAACCCAGCTATACCTGCATGAGAGAAAATGTTGCTGCGGGCTCTCATAAATGGTTTTATTTCAGCTGAAGGGAGAATAAAAAACAAATATTCAGGCAGGGACAGCTATTCAGTGCCTCTGCCAAAACTGTGATGCTTCTTTTTAGCCAAGATCATGTGACCAATGTCTAGGCTGATAAGGGAAGCTGGACATTATTTTCTGCAGGATAGATATCACTGAGCTTTTCAACCATTAAAGCAGCATTAAAACCTTCCATTGTGCAACCTACAGCATCACCTATTTTTTTTGAGAATATATGCCCAATTTCTAACTTTTTATTGTAACTATGCATCAGTTCTCTCTGAATTTGCAGTTGGGGAGCATGCACTATAGAGGTCAGGTGACCACTCAATAGCAGTGCTTGATTCTTCATACTATTGACAGCACCATGCATACGTCTCCTTCCTCTGTACATGCTGTCCCTCTTGCCCTTTGAAAAAACAGCACATGTGCACCTTGGCCTGGATTGAAACGTGCACACCGCAGTCCCTTTGCACCATGATAACATGACTACCCCATCCACAGA